ATTAATAATACTATTGAATTTCATCTTAATTTTATAACCAATCGTGCTTTAAAAAATAATTATAAATTTGTTATATTATATTATTATATTCTTGTTTGCTTAAAACATGCGACTCAAAAAAAACCCAAAATGGCGGCTCAAGAAGTAGATCACGCGTCCTGGCCTTCTTATATAGACCTTGGAACAGTCGGAAGCGCGGCCATTTTGGAACCACACGTAACATTAACCGTTATTTCTTTTACTACGATTACTAAAATTGAAGTTCATAATTTAAGAATTAAATTATAGTGGTAGAAAATAATATAAAAGTATTTATATTATTTATACTCGTACAATTTCAAAACTATTTTCTGTAATAATTTGATTCTGACTTAATGGATATTTTGATATTATTGACGAGAAAAGTTTAAAATCATTTATTTCCTTACCTGTCCATTATTTTTGTTTGACGGAGTTGAATTGTTTGGACCACGTGGCATGAAAAATTTTGTCAAGGTCCTGATGAGAATGTGCAGACAACTGAACGTGTGAAAGAAGACCACTGAGTCAAGACTGTGCAACTATCTATGTTGTGATTGGATAATTTAAATTAGCAAGCAGTGATACTAGTAAGACTTTATTAAACTCATTTTTTCTAATTTTTTTGTTAAGGCGTGAAATGTTATTTTGTACCGTAAATTATACTTGAAATATTATAATGTACTGAAAATAATTTACTGGAAAGGGCAAAATGTACCAGAAAAGTACAAATGTACTAGGAACGGCAACACTGGTTACTTGTCATATCTAGAGTGGGGTCATTTTACTCGTTATTAACATTTACAATTATTATACTTTTTTAAATAAATAAAAGTCATCCCTACTTTTAAAATTAAGCTTTTTTGATATTTTAACACCTCAATAGTGACCTGTTTTCTATATCTTTACGTGTTTAACTCCTAAATAGAGCAGGTTTTTCATACAAACTTCCAGAGAGGCATCCTTCTGTGTTGCACTGTCTCATCTAATCACTACACTCCTCCACTCTATCACGCGCATTTATAAGATAAATTCCATCATCACCTTACAAGTTTTAATTACGCATCCTTTTGATTTTGCCACAATTGTATGAGATCCTATCGATTATTTCTTGAAAAAAAGACATATTTTTTGTGTTTATAGTTACATTATATGTACCGTACATCAAGTCTGCAGATGGAAAGATAATATATTAATGCATTTCCATCATATAATTATTTTTCCTTAGTACTTAACTAATAACACACCCATCAAATAAGTAACAGGTGAGTTACATTCAAGAGAAGTGAAAGAAAATCATTGTGATGTGTTGATCAATAAACTTCACAAATTATAGGTATATTTTCTTTCATTTCCGAGCTACATTAATGTATTTTCATTATTAAAAAATACTGAATTGATACAAAAAGAAATCGATATCATCTTGAGAGCCTTCCTGTACAAGAGAGGGTGATCACAATTAAAGTAAATGTTTAGAGCTTTCTATAGAAAGAACTACTGGGCGAATCTCTACCAAATTCGGTACAAATACTGTAGAAGGTATGCAGTTTCGCTTTTCAAAAAAAAGTTATTTACTTCAAAATTCTACCGCTAGGAGAAACTTTGGCGCTGCTGTATACGGTAACTCAACACGTGGGGATGATTCCCGGGAGGATTTTCTAAATGATAATGAAACTAGCTCCTATTTTGTTGTTACAATCGTAAAGAAAATCCGGAAAACTCCACGTGGCTCGAATACAAGGACAGATTTGTCAGGTAGTTCAGCCGCAAACGCCCAGAGCAAACACTAAATGTTATATGAAATAACTTTCAAAAGTAAACTTTCTGTTAAAAAAAAAAATGGCTTATTCTTTACATTTCTCTCATCCTTAAGATCGAATTTACTTGTCACGTAACGTAGCAATTGTTGTACTTAAATCACGGAAGGTATACACCCCCTTACAGTGAGAAATTATATAATAACAGTTATTCTTACGTTATACAGTCGATACGTCATCAAGAAACAGTATAAAACGTTAGTCAAGTGTTATATTTCCGAGTCGAATTTAAAACTAAGTCATGAGATTTTTATCTTCAGGCTGAAATGAATGTACTTTTCAAGAAGATTATACCTTTGTATAATAGTCTGAGTTCATAATAATAGAATTGTTATTACACACTGCAATTGCTTTGGAAAGTTTCAGAAGTGGAGAATTTTTCGTTATTATTGTCTTATTGATCGATATAGAAGGAAATATAATTATATATCACGATATCTTGCAGGGCATGGGCGAATACGTTAACGATTTTTGCTGATATTACTGACTCTTTTTATCTGATGATCTTAGGAATTAAGAGATTGATTAGCCCTTTTAAAAGGGTCTAAAATTTAGACCCATTGCCCTATTGTTAGTCATTAAATAATCCTACCAGTTGCAGAGTAGATAAACATTGAACATTGAACATTGGTAGTTGGTTGAGGGGTTCTAGCATTACCAACAAACTGGCCAACGAGTTCTTACTAGAGGCATCACCTTCCTGGTTTCTTTGAGTGCCAGTTTTCCATAGAAAGTTTTTTTTTCAGAGGTATTGCTTTCCCGCTGAGAAATCTCATTCATTTGTTTCGTATCGAAAAAAATGTATTGTCTTCAATCAGTCTATCAGAAGTGTTTCTTACTTTACACTTTTTCTTAAAGATATTATTACAGAAACTGTACTTGAGCAGAAAAAAAAACAGACAGACAGACAGACAAGCGTGTCTCCAAAATCCGACAAAATCACTAACATCGATAAAAGATTATTGGATTTTGTGCAAGAGTAACATATTGGAAACTGAAGTAGAATCGACGTTGCATGTTTTTTCTTAATCTCTGATAAAGATAAATTAATCTCAGGATTGAGGAAAATAAATAATCACAGTAAACAAAAGATTCAGATACGTAACTTAACTGACTTGTGAGTATGAAATACCAGAATATTTTTGTATCAGTCAGATAAAATTAAATTCCATGCAATACGAAATTACCTTTTCAACCTTTTTAGCCAACTAAAAACCACTTAAAAATCCTTTAATTTATAATGGAAACCATGTAACATGCAAATTCCATACAATACCATGATTTTCAAGTACTCGTTACATATTTTTTTCATATGTTTCAATGGGAAGAATATCATTCTTCCTTCACAATAATAAGCATCTTTGATAGGATGATGTTGAAGATCATTCTTGATTTTCAACATCATCCTATCAAAGATGCTTATTATTGTGAAGGATACAAATTATAGCTTCTTATTTAAACTTGTATTTTAATGTGCTGACGTCATTAATTTAAATCCTCGTGCAAGAAATTTATACGTGACGTTTGATGGGATGCGTTATGAGGTGATAAAGGTTTCACTTTACTCCCCCTCCCTCCTGTCTAGTTATTTCTCTGGTACATCTTGCCGAGTGGAGCGAAAATAAGGGTCTTTCTATACCCGAAAAATAGCTACGTGTAATGAAAACGCTTTAAGTTGTGTTCCCATCAGTTGTGTAATCGATAAAGACACTAGACAATGTCGCGTGGAGTTTTCCGTATTTTCCTCACTTGTATAACACCTATTTAATAAATATTTCGTGAGGATTATCTTGCAAGGAAGACACAAATTAATAAAATTAATACATAAACGAATTTAATTTATAACAGTGATTCATAGAAAAATGCCAAATTCCACAGTTTATAATAGAGTTTAATGGGTATAAAATTGGAAGAAGAATTGCAAATTTTCATAATACACCACATTAACTTTCATTTTAATTCCATTTAAGTTGTTAGTAAATTAATTATAATAATGCAGGTTGGTTTTTACAAATCACTTTAATACTTTCACTTTATCGTACAACCTTTTAAGAAATTATTCCTCCATCATCTCATCAGCGATCGAGTTGGGAATAAACTTCAATTTCTATGCTTTTACCTGTGGGAAACTGGAAATTTTCTACTTATTTCCTTTCCCTTCTTACTTATACGTTAATTTATTTCCTTTATTATTTTATTATGTCGAAAATAGGGAGGTTTATTTATACAAAACATTCATAATATCGATATTCAATGGCACGTTTTCCTAGGGGCAAAATGGGCAATTGACCGGAGCCCCCACCATCTGGGGATCCAAAACCAATCATTTATAAGGAAAAATATCTGAAATCAACATTGTACATGGGCCCTCTAATTCAATATCATGCCAGGGCAGAAGTTTGTCTTTCAGTTTGGCCCTGCAGCAGTTTAATTAAGAGAGGCCTCATTATAGAGTTAATGGAAGCAGGATAGTCATTTCGTACTGATTGTAAGCAGGTGTTGGGTTCGGCCAGGCCCACAATGGAGCGGCATCCAAACGAAAAGTCTTACGTTAATAAACGTGTCCAGGGAAAAGAGGAGGCAAGATTATTATTTTTTACTGTACCGGTATTTAGCGGTTTCTTTCCATTCTGCGAGTACCAAGAGGTCCTTTTTTACGTGGCAGTGGTCCAATGGCCGAGCGATCAAGGTGGCAACCTACCGCTCTGGAGACCCGTGTCTGTCCAAATATGTCGGACTCCTCTCCACACTATCCGGCTTCCCATTGTGGGCCTGGCCGAACCCACTGCTTGCTAAAAGAGGCCCTCTTAGTGCCCACAGAGCGAAAAAAGTTTTAAAAAAAGGCCAATTGTGGTTCATATGTGGGTCCAAGTGGAGAGAAACGGGCCTAATATATTCATCGCCCATGTTCCGATCGCCCGGATTCGAATCCGGATCCACCAGCGAGGTAAGTGCCGTTTTAACATCTTTTATTGAATACTAATGAAAATTTTCAAGTAAAAATTATATTTTATCTAATTACTTTCGAATAAATTATTTTTATAATTTTAAAAAAAACATATTAAAAGTTTTTTAATTTATAAAAGTATAAAATATTTAAAAATTTATGATAATACATGTATTTATTAATATATTTTATCGTAAAGAAAAAAAAATTTTCGGCAGGGGGCGTTGTCAATCAATATGGCGGCGGAATGGCTGTGAGTGGGAGTGTCAGGATGAGGTTGAAGTCTTCTAGTGTAGATTATGGGGATCCTCCCAGCAAGGTCAAGCATTTTTTTATTGTTATTTTAGTACATAAACAAGTCTGTCTGTCATATATTTAACTTAAATTATTAAACGATTGTATTTAATTAATATTTTAGGTTGAAACTAGAGAAGATGAAGAACAAGCTATCAAATTGCAAGAAATAATCGATCTTCTTCTTGCTGCTGGTTATTTTAGAGCCAGGATTAAAGGACTGTCGTCGTTTGATAAGGTATATGACATTTTCACAGTCACACAGATGTGTGAATCAATATGATTGTTTTTGTAGGTGTTTATCATCAATTGACACTGAAATTGTATTATAAATGTTAGTAGAGTTTACATGAATACTTTGCACATACTACAGAAACAGTCAGAATGATACAAATGAAGCTCTTATCAGAGCTATGGTGGAAGTAAAACACTCGGAACTGACAGTCTGCGTTTGACTCTTTTTGAGATATATCCTCTCGAAATCAGTGTGTGTGGAATTTTGGGTATGATTCAAGCTCCAAATGAGGGCTTTTTCGATCCCCAAATTTTAGACCCTCTTTTACAAGCAGAAAAGTCAAAGGAAGCGTATCGGTACGTGTGACCCTTTTGTGATATTTCCCTCCGAAGATCTGTTTTTAACATGTATCGGTATACTGCCTACTCTTTGTGCTCTGCATTTTCAAGGTTCACTTTTGCTCGCCTTGACTGATGCTTTGCGTGTAGTCATGTGTTTCATTGAGCTCACACCCATCTAAAACTATATAACATCAAATAATGTATGAATGGTCAAGTGGGCTACTCAAAGCTGGCATAGTTGTGTGGGCTGAATAGTTAAATTCAATAGTCTTAGTGGAGCAACATGACTTGTGATCTCGTATTACCCGATTTTGGGGGCTGTATCTTGTGAAGGATGGCTTATTAGAGGTATGGTTCCTTTGACTTTTTTGCTCTTATAGGTATGATGTATGGCTTCATAAGGCCTCAAATGTCTCACTCAGAGCTTGAATTGAGCCGAATTTTGAGGACACTCAAAAATTGGGTAAAATTTAAAGATGAAAAAGTAAGAAAGTCTGGAACTAGTTCCTGAAACAGTGCTAAAAATCGACTGTTTTTCACTTTAATATAGACGGCTTATGTAAAACATGAGAAATTTTATTTCACTGATTACTACCAGGCTATATATGTATATACATATACAGGGTGTGATGCTGAAACTTCCTTATTTTAAAAACTCATAAAACAAAAAGTATTGGAGATATCAATTTAATTCTTTTTGCTTTACATAGAGGTACATTTAAAGTTTTATTTCATTAGGTTTTGAAAATGATATCTTGAAGGTGGTCTCTGTTCCGGTCATTATGTTTGGAGAGTCGAAATTGGAAGTTTCGGTCCACTTTGTCCAGTATGTATGTGTCTATGTCGGCAATAGCAGCATAGATATCGTTCTTCAGCTCACCCAGGGTTTTTCGACGATTGCTATACACCAAGAATTTAAGATATCCCCATAAGAAAAAATCGCGAGGGCTAAATCTGGCGAGCGTGCTTGCCAGTGAAGATTGCCCCTCAAACAGATGAGACATTTGGAGAAGTGTTTGCACAAGAGAGTAATTGACATTTGTGCCATATGAGCTGTGATGCCATCTTGTTGGAACCACACATCCCTCACATCCATTTTTTCAAGTTTGGGAAGAAAAAGCTCCTTATTCATCTGGACATAACGCTTAGAAGTGACCGTAAATGCCCTATCGTTATTGAAGGTCCTGGTTTCTGTTTTCTGCACACTACCAGTATCCATAAACGTGTCCACCCACTGAACAATCGATTTTCGATCAGGAACATGACCTACAGGCGTGATATTAAACTGTTTCCTGAATGCACACTGGATTGCAATGAATAAATGGCTGTTGGGAAAGTAAGTCGCCATGGTGAACGTGCTCTCCTGTCTTGTTCACTGCACGATCATTACTAAACTAACCATACAAAAAACATTAGCCCTGCCCTTTCGAATGCACTCAACTCCACTCTCCAAGGAGTAACGGTTGCTGTGTGGCGTGTATTTCAAATAAGGAAGTTTCCGTGCCGCACCCTGTACTAGGGTAAATGCACCAGTAGTCAACCATTTAAAGCTGTTTTGGACTTAGATATTTTTTATTAAGATATGTAGTAACACGAAAAGCAAAATTCATGTATGTAAATAAAGTTTGTTCTATACTTTTCATGGAAAAAAAACATTTTTTATTATACCATTGTTTACATTAAGAAAAAAACTAATTTACTCAAGGGCTGTTCATCCAGTAGTCAATCAATGAGTCACACATTTGTTTATGGCAGTTGTAAACTGTGTTTTCCTTCATCAAATGCTTCACATATGTGGCAACTGAAATGGTACGCCAGATTAATGATAGGCATTTTGTAGAATATACTCATCTGAAACACAGTTTTCTTTATCTTCTAAAGATGTAACAATTCACTATGTGGTTGACTATTAGAAGGAGTGTTGCACAATAATTTTTTCCATCACTGTGAGGGAGGTAATCTGTTGATGTTACATGTCATTGAGAATGGGGTCATCTTATAATGCTTTCTGTGAAGATGACTTGACCTACTCTGATATACTAATTACATATGGATTTAGGCTTAAATTGTGGACTACTGGAAGTGGTTGACAATAGGAGCCCCCACTCTATATACTATATACATATAAACGACAATGTCATAAACCCAATTTTTGATTAAAGCCAGACAATATGCTGAATTATCAGGCTACAATAAGAGTACGTTAATAATTAGCTATGAAGTAATTTGTCTTGAGGTAAACAATTAAGTTACCATCTTGTGATGATTTTAATAATAGTAGTAATTAACTCTAAGTGTCCTGTAGGCACTAAAAGGGTGTTCTTCTATACCCATTGTGATATTTAGTTAGTTGGTTTTATAATAATAGCAGACAAAAATTCTTAGATAGATTTTAATAAGTTAATAACAACTTACTAAAATAATAATTATGAAAATTGTTATTCAGACAGTCATGAAACATTTAAAAACAACAAAATCTATTTAATTATGAAGATTTTCAATTATTTTTTAAAGATGTAAGAGTCACCTTCCTAAATGAATGCAGGACCTTAGGGGTATAGCTTATGTCTGTAGGGATAATATGCCTCCCTGTTGATTGTGTTTCTTTCCTCCAGAAGTTAAAATTCATATCGATGCCCTCTCCATGGCATGGAGAACGTACTTTGAGTTGCACGGGGTATAACCTGAATCGACTTCTCCGCACATCTACGGAATGGTCACCATATTTTTAATTTAAACTAACCGGCATTCTATGTTTGGAAAATTATCATTTATATTTTAGTATTGCTAAGTTTGATTGTGTATTATATCCGAGAATGGTCTTTGAAAATGACCGATGATGATTTAGAATGATAATTACAACACCTTGTCACACTGGAGATGTAATTAACAGGTGTTTGATTGTAATTGTAACAGATGTAATTGGAGATTGTAATTAACAGGTGTATTTCTGCCATTAATTTTGCCAATCCTTGAAGTTTTCTTTTGAGATGTTCTTTAGAATCATCTCTGATGCTTTGAGACAGTTATTGTGAGTGGAAAATGGGTTAAATTAACTGTGACTTTAGTGCTGGGAATAGGAAAAGATTCAGTATTTCAATGCTACATTTTGTATTGGATGTGGGACGTACAATGTTTCTTCATGTCCATAAATTCCATTGTCTCATTACTAACAAGTCAGTTTTCATAGATAAGCAGTGTACTACTTTTGTTTGCATGTTCTATGATCGTACGAAGGGTAGCTTATTTCTTTATCAATATTTTGTGAATTGTGAAACTTATCTTGTAAAAATTTACTATATAAAATATACAATTGTTTATACATTTATAATATAATAATGTTTCTTTGTTTACTAGGTAGTAGGCGGGATGACTTGGTGTATTGAGACATGTAACATTGATATAGATGTGGATCTTCTCTTTCAAGAAAATTTAACAATTGGCCAGAAAATGTAAGTCTTCTGCAGTTTTCAAAACTTACTTAACTGGAGAGCTTAAAATAGTAATGGAGAGAGTAAACAAAGTATTTTATAATTAGCTCATCATGCATATGTTAGGCCTTGTCCCCCTCTAATTTAAGATGGAGAGTATATATTTTAAATTAAATAGATTAAAAATTGCAGTTCAGCATTATGACGACGTCACAATAAATAGTTGCTCGTCATTAGTACATTGTATTAATGAAAAGCGTATATAGAATAGCTAGAAAGTGCATAGTTTTCTACTTAATTTAGTGGGAGATACGGTAATTTATCTAGTATTCTGAATAGCCTTACAGAGAAATATGAAACACATTGTTACCTATGGCAAATGGTATTGGTAATAGCCAAGAATGAACTAGTGTTGAACTAACAAACAGCCATATTACTGAATACATGTATGGTTTACTCTTGGTTATCACTGATACCATTTCCAAGTAGTAGATAAGCTCTCCACCAAACATATAAGCATACATGCAATGGAAAGTATCGTATGCACTGTTAATATTTTATTTTGGGTTATAGATATAATGATATAGTTGATCTGCAATTTTAAAATCCAGAAATGACTAATAAATAATTCTAAACAGTTTAAAAATAATTATAATTACAGATCTCTAACAGAGAAAATAGTTGCAGTTCTTCCCAAAATGAAGTGTCCTCATCGTTTAGAACCTCATCAGATTCAAGGATTGGATTGCATTCATATATTTCCAGTAATTCAGGTACAAATTGCTTAGTTGTCATATCAAATATATTGTATAATATACACTAACACTGTATAATAAACATAATTTATCATCTTTGTGATAGAATACCGATCTATTTTATGCACGGCGTATGGTAACGTCTTTATAAACCTGTGTAACTGACAAACGCAGTTAAGTATAGTTACAAACGTGATGTATATTTATAGTAAAGTGACTTTGCGTTACAAGACAAGACTGCACGTGGTGCACCTAGCAGTAAAATTTGAAAGTTAGCAAGCCTTTCACGAAACCGTGCATGATATAGAAGAAAAGTCAATTACAGAGGCGTAGAATACAATTGATTTAGTACGAAAGGACACTTTGCATACGTGAATACTACAAATAGAAAATGTAAAATGTTAATGTGCGTGTCGAGCACACATGATAAAATGTGTATTATTCATGTGCTTAGTTCTGCACGTTCCAATTTTAGGATGCTATTGACCTGAAGAAGATCAGAAACATTTTTGAATTATACATTAAAAAATTATTTACTGGATTATAAAGGTTTTGTTTGGTGTATTTATTCATGTACTTATTTATAACATGTATTTCTCATTTTCCTCTCTTATTTGGTAAGTATTTATTACTGTGTTGTACATTGTGTGTCATTCACCCATCAGTATATAAGGACTTTACTATACATCCTATGTAATTTAAATATTCTAAATCAGTTAATCTATGCTTTATTAAATTATAACATAAATTTATAGATAAACTTCTCAGTATTAAATTTTTGAAATTTTTTTTTTGTAGTGGCTGGTGAAGAAAGCAATTGAAACCAGACAAGAAATGGGAGATTATATTAGAGCTTATTCTATTTATCAATTTAGTAAGAATCATTCAACACCTCAGGTAAAAATACTTTTAAAATAATTGCTACTATAAAAACTAGTTATGGTACTAATGAAGGAATGTAAAAATTTAAATAAATCAATATAATAATAAGCTAAGTGACAATTGAAAGTACTTTCCATATTTTAAGGCATTTACGATGCAAGTTTTGTCCAAAACGAAGGCTCAAAAATTTATTCCGCATATTTTATTCGAAGTTGCGATCTCTCGTAGGCTAACAAATTGCCCGAGCAGTAGGTTACGCGTAGCCTCTATCCAGTTCGACTCTCGAATAAAAGGCTATTGTTTAATTAAACACGTATTATTAGTTTTATTATTTACTATAGCTAAGTAGCATTTGCATGTATTCATGTAAAGTATTTTAATTGTAAATGATTTCTTTTAAACTCTCGTTTCTCCCTGGTAATTTTACTGTTTTTTAACTAGAATACAGTAAAAATAATCTGGGATTGAATGTCAAAGGCGTGATATGGCTTAAATACACTACAAACTTTACCTGTAGATATTCTGTGCTAAAATAAAGGTGCATCTTATGTGCCTGTGTGTCTTGTATACTGTAAAACATGGCAATTAAATATTATAAGAATTTTTCAATATGTATGATGATTACATCTGTGTTTAGCTGCAGATCTGTAAGTAACTGTAAAGATTGAATCATCTGCAATATATTAAACATGAAAATGCTTTTTCATTGGCCAACAAGTCTACTGCAGCAATCTTTCTGACAATTTTCTCATTCACTGGTATAAAAACCTGGCAGTAGTACATTTTTAAAGAAAAAGTGGAAATTTTTTGACAGTTTGACTACATAAAAATGTCCATAATTGTTTCTTTGAATGGCAAAGGTCTCCGCACTGTTTCACAAGAGGATAAACATTCCTCTTGTGAAATATAGTAGAGAATGCATTTGTTATGAACATGGAAAAGTTGAAAATAGTATGAGTAAGCCATGCTGGAAAAGGATACTGAAACATTTCAGCCTTAAATACTACTACTATTACCAAACCGAAAGTATAACGTGAACACAGACATCCATAAAAGTAAGTGCATGAAGCGTGCAGCATTGGTTTAAGAGCAATTATTGATAATTGAAATGTACAGACATCTGCTTATCTGCACTAAAGATGTAGACTGAAGCATTGAGATATGGGATTCCACTATGTTTTCAATTGGATCTAAATTTATTGCATAGATTAAGCAAGGTGTATTACAGGAATTGCTTTATGCAGACAGTAAAGATGCATATCCAGTAAATATGTTAGTATACTACATTTTATAAATGGGTCTGTGAATTCAGAATTTTTTCTATGTAATAAATATGTTAGCATTACAAATTGTAATCATAACTTAAATACATTACTTTGCACGTCTGTTGAACACATTTTGATATATATCATAAGTGATGCAATTTTTATGACTGCTGCTGTAGTTTATTTATCATTGTTGACACATGCAAAACACTGTAAGCACCTTAAATTTTATGACAGCAGCAGCAGAAGCCAATTAATATTGCAAATAACAATGTAAGATTCTCCTGTATGAAGGTTATGCCATAATCATTTAATTACTAGATTTACTATTGACTACACTCAACAACTGAAAAAAAAAAAAAGATTTAGTCACTTAAGAGGTTTCCTCAGTAGTGTGGACTGCCCAATTATATATGATCTTATTACAAGAAAACAGTAAAGCCAATTGTATTGGCCAAATGTTTCCGAGATTCACGTAGAAGATGCATACTCAAAAGATGTACACAACTACAACAAATAAATTATTTTGATGCTGATGTAATTGTTAATGTTTAATTGGTAACTGAAAAATAATTTATGACAAATTGTTGATTCAAATTCAACACTTAGAAGTCACAGTAGAGTCTGTTACTCTCCAGTCTGACATGTCCAGTAATCTAATACTTTGCAGGGTGGCACACATGAAATTTTTGTGTTACTCCTTGTTGATGTATGTGATGGAGAGAGACTGATGTACATGTATACCGTCAGTTGCTAGTTGTTTATTGTACTTGCAGCAGAATGTCACAATCATGATTAATACGACAAACTAAACTGTGAACCGAGTGCATTTTTTACTGTACAGTACAGTACATATGTGTATACAAAATCTAGTAATCTGACACCTGCCAGTCTGATATATGTCAGATTACTCTGATAATAGACATTGTCAAACATTGTTTTAATATGGCAGCAGTGGTCAAAACTTGTTGACTGTTCTCTAGCTTGTTAAAGCCACTAGTAAATTGCATCTTTCATAGTGTAAATATAACACACTTTCTAATGTCGATACGTAGAATTAGCCTTCCGATAACGAGTACGTCACTAGCTACAAATGTAAGAATTGTTTGTATGAATAAAGCCGCGTGTCTTATCAATTCCATTGTTTAGTCACACTGATAAACCTGCAGAATAAAGACCACAATGTGTAGAATTGTTGCTTTATCTAAGAATATAGTGTGTATGTATGAAGGAAATATACTTGTAAGTTAAAATAGATATTCTGTAAGCAGTATCCCACATCAACTGGTAAGAATGTGCTGTTCGATGTATATATGAACCTTTTACCTTGAATCACATATTTTACTATTACATAGCAATAGTAAAATATGTGATTCAAGGTACAATGTACTTGAATACCTCTACATATACAAAAGCGCATGTAGAGGCATTCTGATTGTATGGAAAAATGATGATAATGTTAACTAAATCTCTATTTTTAATCCAAAATTTCTTTGAATTTAGGATTTAGAAAAGGAAGCACTTAAGGAAAAGGTGATTTCAACATTAAAGGATTTGAAGGTAAGAATAAAATGATGCCGATTAATAAATATATCTAAATGTGCAAGAAGAAAGAGCTGAATATTAATCGTAACGTGTACAGGAATCGTACCAGCCGAAGCGGCGTTATCGTCACCATGCATCTCATAAGTTAAAGGAAGAGGAAGTCAGGGTACAGACGACTCTATTAGAATACGGAAGGTTCGATACATGTAAAACTGTTCTTAAAGTTATATTTGCCTATATTTTTTTAATTTCAATACAATTATTTATTTCAGAAAGTACGGAATATTGAGATTACATCATAAAAATCAAGTTTGTATATTTAACTAAATAACTAATCAAAGATTTAGTTATTTAGTTAATTATAATTTAAAATTTCTTGTTTTATAACTGATTTTAGGCTACGAGTCAGGACGAAGAATCTAATCTGGTGCCTAAAAATGACGTGAAAGAAAGTAAAAATGCCGAAGAGGTAACATGTTTCTCTTATACTATTCATATAAATGGTATTTTTGGATGTGAAGGTGCATTTTGTAGCATGATATTAAAATGTATTAGAAAATTTAACTAATGATTAAATACCTACATATTCTAACAATGTTTAAAATTTATTTTTTGAAACAATTAAAAATATTTTAAAGGATTCAGCTTCGTCAAACAGGTATTTGCTGCTTAATGACACATCTTGTATATGATAGAGGTCCTTTAAGTTTATAAAGGAGCTAAAATATTTGTAGCTGCCTGTACTTTTCCTATGTTTACATACATAAACACTTATAATTGTGTTAGAAATGCAGAAAGTCAAAATTACAGTATAGCACTTTAATAGTAGGACATGTGGAAATGTTTACCTAATTACTTTTCAAAGTAGGATCCTTCAGTGCACAGAAACATTGCTCCATTGATCCTGCCATTGTTGGAAGAATCATTGACCCCTTGAGATGCATTTTCAGCATAGGGAATAGCCAAAAGTCACTCAGAGTAAGACCAGGTGAGTACAATGGGTGATGATGGGACGTCTTTTGTTAGCAAGGAATTGTTTCAAAACAAGTGGTGAGTGACTCGTGATGCAGAAGCCATCCTTCTCGTCACTTCTAACACAGTTTTCTCCAAATTGCATGTAGTAATGACCAGAAACACACTATCCAGGCAGTACAAACGCACCGTATCATCTACGCCAAATAAGTAATCTTTTCAAATACAATGAGCATCATTGAATGTGCCAGCCAAACTCCTGAATATTCCTAAAGAAGCTTCCAATAATGGTAAGATTAATGGAGCAAGTGTGCTGTATGCTTGTAGGGTCCTACTTTGACGGTGATTAGGTAAACCTTTCCATATGTCTTACCATTACAGTACTATATTATAATTCCAAGAACTTTTTCACTGCCTGTGTGTAGCTTATATGAGTAGTACCAAATAGTACACATTACTGCGTTCACTTAACATATTTCTCAGAACATATCCACATTGTTAAGCATTACATACATGTACTTTTAATTATTGAATATTTCTCATGAATATGAGTGTAAGAAAATAACACAGAAAATATGAATATTATTCAAGAACTAAGGTTTATAACATGAAAGTTTGGATAAAACTATATTACAGAAATAGATTACAATGACTTCAGGTATAAAATGCTTACTTTTAGCTAGCCAACTGTCAAAATTTTTTCATGAAGGAATGTTTTCGTCCTGTTTTATGACAGCCTCACTGACGTAAACATTGTTTGATACGTGAAAAATGTTCAAATTCAGTTGGAACAGCGACTCGTGAAGCTGAAGCTGTCCTAAAACAAGTTGAAAATGTTCTTTTATGAAAAAATTTAAACAGTTGGCTACCTGAAAATAAGCATTTCATCATCATCACAGTCCTATGCCCTTCAAAGCGCTTGGTGATATTACAAATTGATGACTTTAATTGTATCTTTTCACTGCTCCCAGTGTTGTACCATGTGGATGGATTAATACATTGCATGTCCTGTAATCGTCTTTACTTGGTCTGCCCACCTAATCCGACATTTGCTTCTAGGGCATTTGCCATTGATCTTCCCTTCTAGGATTTGTTTCTCAAATCCATTTTTGCATCTGGAAATATGTCCCAAGAAGCAAAGATAGGATTGGTATATTATAGTGGTAAGGCGTGTTGTGATTTTCAGTTGATTTAGGATGGAGCAATTTGTTCGATGCTCCATCCAAGAGATTCTCGGCATTCTTCTTTATGTCCATGTTTCGAAGAAACTTGATTCCTTTTTTAATGTGAAGTGGCATTTATGTTCCAGGTTTCCGAGGCATAAGTGGCAATCGAAAAAAATAAGCGTTCTTATGAGCTTTAGTTTATTAGAAATAACGATTGCAGAATCTTTCCAAATTCTAAATAATTTAGAGGTTGCTCGTAATGCAACCTCTAAAGTTTCAAAATGTTTTGTAATATATTCAAGTTCTGATTCATTGGATGCTGTAATAAGTGTATCGTCAGCATATCTCAGGTTGTTATCTTTAAGGCACCCCAATGGAAATGCCTCTGTCCCAGTTATCTAATACCCTTCTCATGATTATTTCAAAATAAGCATTAAAGAGTAAGGGGGAAAGAATACATCTCTGTCTTACACCATCTTCAGATGTGATTAGACATAGTTAACTTTTACTCTTGCAGAGTTATTCTCATATAAATTTCTGAAATAAGATGGCATGGGACTCTCATGTTTTGAAGAACGGGCCACAATTTGTGCCATTTTACACAATCAAAGGCTTTGATATAGTCTATGAAACAAAGGTAAGCTTTGACGTTAAATTCATAGGCTTTTTCAATGGCTTGTTGAGCGTTCAAGATTTGTTCTTGAGTTTCTTTACCAGGGATAAACCCTGACTGTTCTTCAGCTATTTCAGGAAATAGGAAGAGTTTCAAACTGTTATTAATTATTTGGAGCATTACTTTCAGCATTACAGAATGCTCCAGGTCTTGCTCTGACATTATTTACTGATGATCTCCATCTTGTTCTTATTAACACGTAATCAATTTTGGTCTTTATATTGGTTGGGGAGGTCCAAGTAGAAAGATATCGGTAATGGTGTTTGAACATGGTGTTTGTTATTATCGATTGCAAACTGAAAGAGTCTATTTCCTCTCTCATTTCTGGTGCCCAGTCCGAATTCTTCTATAATGCACCGTAGATTATCATCACTTTTTGTATTGCCTGTCTTAGCATTAAAATCTCCCATTATTATCAATATGTCCTTCTGTGATGATATTTTCAGTTTGTGTGTATACTGTGCCCACTTCATCGTCCGAAGCAGCCGAAGTGGGCATATAAACCTGTATAATATGAAGTTTTACTGGGCTGGAAGATATTGTAATTTTGATTATGCGGTTGTCGATAGATTCATAGCCTTCTACAAATTTTGTTATGCATTTGTCGATAACAAAGGCCACTCCATTATGTCCATTTTGGGTTATACCTGAAACATATATCGTGTGGTTGATTGTATCAAAATGACCACTCTCTCTCTCTCCAATGTGTTTCGGAGATGCCACAAATTGGTATATTCTCTCGATTAAGCTCTTTCTATCATGTAGACCTTTCCAGTCTGTAAAGTCCTATGTCCACACGCTCGGTAGCCCATTTTACACCAAATGAATCAGTTTGGCGCCAGTTGCAGACTGGATCGCTATGCATATCATTGCTCATCCTCGTCATAATATTCTCATGGGAGAATAATCAGGTAGTTTTCTGTTGCCTGCTCAATCCATTGATTATGAACGGTTTCGAACTTAATAGGCTTAAAAGCATTTTATACCTGAAATAACAATAATATGGAGAACTTGCAGTGAACTTGCTATGTGAATTAAAGTTGATTTGTAGCATTATTTACATTAACTGTTTAAATACATTAGAGTTTGTTTGAAATTATAAAAGTTTCTTTTTCAAAAAGCATAAAATTTATGTCAAATTATACATTAATTTCTTTCAGAGAACAGACTCTTATTAGCATACTCTTTTTTAATCTTTCCAAATGCTTCCAGATATTTTGACACATTGTCGTCACATAAAAATATCTTAAATCTTATATTGAAATCATGTTTTTTAATATGTTATAACATGTCTTGCGTTCTTTCAGAAAAGACACGTTACAACTCCAGTCTTTTATTTTCTGTTTTTTATTTGCCGATGTTTACAAGGTATACACACGAGAACATAGGGACATACTACCTTCAGTGACAAGTCTACACATTCTAACAGGAGGGAATCTCTTTTCCTTCTGATTCGCTCTCGATAAGAGATTTAATGGGCACAAAGGCCCGCCAATTCAGTATCCAGACAGGTCAAAAAATCCCAGGAATTTTTGGGGATGATCCATCTGGATATGTTGAGCTCCATCCACCAATGCCTGGCTATAATGGGCTTGCCAGAAAGGCTCTTTTATTACCTCTACAGCAGAGAGTTGAAGAAAGACTTGAATATGAGATTTAAGATACAAGAAAATACCCCTAAAGGTTGGTCAAACAGCCCAAAATCATTTGAAAAGTTCAGTAAAGTATGCTAATAAGAGCCTGTTCTCAGGTAAGGAAGGATTTGAGAAGTAGTAGACCCTAGAGGTAGGCGTCCGGGGATACGCCTACCTTACACCTTCAGGGTCAAATGTATTAGTAATTTATAATTATTATTGCCAATATATAGCTCAACGTTATATGACAGTTGAGGTAGTGTTATTGTAATGTATCAGGTTTCATTAGAATTATTTATCATTCTAAATTGAGAAATCATTGAGAAATTTCATAAATATCACAGAAATTGTATAGTTTAAACGAAATTCTATCACTTCTTTACGCAAAGTTTTTCATGCTCAAAAAATTCAGGGTGAATTTCAAGTGCAGAAGTCGCGCGAGTCACTTCTGAACACGAATTTATCCATGAATTTTTCGAAACATCTTTATAATTTTAGTAAATCATGACCTTGTAAATTGCATGATAATTAATTTCATGTGAAAACTTGCAACCGTACAAATGCATGATACCGCTTGTGCTAGAAGTAATTTATGAAAATCATTTTTATATTTATTATTATTTTCTGATTTTGTGCATAGTTTAGTTGATGTTAGCTTGCCTTGTTTTTATATTTAAATAAATATTTACACATTTTCATTTTTGAAGTATATATTTGCCTATTTAAAAGATTGTTATATTAATAAAACTTCTAGTAAAATCAGATTAACTATCTGGAACATTTGTTAATAAAATTCGACAAGCCCATCGGTGGGCGAGCGAATAAAGTGACCAAACAATGGTAGTTGGTGGCGGGCGGTTGCGCCCGAATGGGCCAGTTGTGTGGGATTTTTCAGGATTTCCTAGTGTTTAACATCTAGAGGGGAGCCTGAAAGTCGTCCCCTTTCGCGGATCTTAAAGTATAACATTCCGAATGAAAATAGGCATGATATATGTTTCAAAATTGCATGATTTTTGAGCTTTTATTATTAATTCTTATATATTCAGAATTTTTCTTAATTTTTTTACTGATACGTAACTCGAACGAAATAACTGAGAATGCTTTTCATTAAATTCTCACTCTGCTTTGTGCCTGCTTTGCATAGACACAGATCGACAAGTTGATGAGTGGTATGTCGGCAATGGATGAATCCGAGGTTGGTCAGTTTTTCAATTAATATTCTTTAATATTTCGAATTAAAATAATAATTAACTTTAATTCTAACGTGCGTTAATCATTTTTTCTAATGATTAATATTAAATATTACAATTATTATATTACTTTTCGGTTTAGATTAATTGTGTAGAGAGTAGAAATTATACAGTATCGTTGCATAGAATTTAATTATTCATTACGTAATTTAATTTACTGCTTTATAGGGGTGTACTAATCATGTATAAATGTTTAATGTAAGTACTTCTGGGCCGACGAGTCTATCGTCGCAGACTCCAAAGTTATTTTGCAAAATTTAGAACGTAGAACGTGCTACTTCGACTTAAACAAACTTATTAACTACTGTTGATAAAGCCATACGACTGCCAATTATAGTTGTATATTATGGCTACGTATTTAATTAATTTACTAAATAATTAAGTGGTAAGTGGGAGTTGCAGGTTCAAGTCCCGATTCTTTTCTTACAGGAAATACTCGATTAAATTTATTATAATTATTAAATCTAGTATGAGATGACAGCACGACTCCCTACCTGTAGACAGATTATTAAAGCTAAACAATGGTACCTAATTAAAAACGTTCTGTAATTATTAGAGTTTTATTCATGCAGAATATTGGGCGGTATTGATAAAGAATAGTAATTAAGCACGACGAGTGCGCGACTTGATTTTTGAGTTTATGGAGATGGAACCTTTTGTCTTTGGGTGGCATTGCGGGGAATCCTCGGGGGGCAAACGGGACACTTGCTCCTCCCTCGGATTGAGTTAAAATTCCACAAATTATAATCGTAAAAGTAATTTAGTTACCATTTACCATAACCATTTACTTTCAATCATGGGATGATTTTTCTGTCTTTTTGTATAGTTGCAATACTATATTATATGAGACGTATGTAAAAAAACCTCAGAAAAAATTAAATAATAAAGGCTTTATGAAGTTTTTATGTCTCTAAGTACACGAATGCCTCCTTAAAATATTTTCTGTGGACGCGAATGGGCGGCAAACTTCCTTTTTATCACGGCACAACCGTAAATGAAAGGGAGCGAGTTTCACGTCTAACTATATCAGGAAACTAAATTTAAAAGTTTGCGAAAGTGACTTTTATGTTTTTATATATGAGAATTCTATACTAAAATGACTAAAAATAGCTAAATTTAGTGTTAAATTTAACAATTAAATTAATTTACAACTGAATATTTAGCTTTTGCAATTGATTTTAAGTTTCACACTTTTTATTTGCTTATATCAAATCAATTATATTATTAATTTGATACATGTTTTTTTAAATTTAATATTTCACTTTTTATAGTTTAACTTATAAAAATAATGGCCGAATGCTCTCGTTATACACTATGTTATATTTTGGGTTATATGCTATGTTATATCATAAGGTAAATATTAAGATATAGCAGAAAATTAATTACTTTTATAAAAAAAATTATTATTTTTGCTTAGACTAAGGTCACGGCCAGTGTGGTTGGATCAATCGTCAGCATGCAGTCCGACAAAATTCAACAGATCGCCTCGGAGTTTGCTGATAAGGTATGCGAATAGAATCAAGACGCTTGTTTACATATCTTATAATTTTCTAAATGGTTGTTTTAAATGATGCAAATTTCTGTGTAGCAAGCTGAATTAGCGAGCGAAGAATTGGGAGAGAAATATGGAGGAATTCAGCACCACAAGAGAGTCATTACTTCATTAAACAAACAAATAACGGATAAAACCGAGAGTTTAAATCAGGTCGGTAATTAGTAATTAATGACTTTATTGTAGCAATGAGCTGTCTAGAATGCGTGTGCATTCGATTATATTTTAAGAGGTATTTTAAACACGTGCATTCAAATTACGATTTGGATTTTTGGACTCTAAAGACGCCCCCTATAGTCTTTTATAGGAAGGAAATTATGTCAATGATTTGTTTAAGGAGAAAGGGAACATTTTCTTTCTGATATGATGTTAGTTCATCAGGTTAATAGGAGTTGAAATAGTTTAATTGAGAAACTAAGTGGGTTTCGAAACACACTTAATTTTTCAAATTGTTTTTCGTCCTCCAAAATATAAATTGTTACTAATCGTCCCCTCAACATGGAAAATCGCCCACATGGGGCGATATCGCCCCCGTTGAGAAACACTGGATTAGAACGTGATGTTAAACACATTACCCCTCGCTAATATTCATGGTAGAGAATTGCTTGAATATGCTCTCTACCATTATATGGATATACTCAATTTAATAATGAATATATAGTCTATATGCACTTCTATCATTGAAACAATTTTGTGACATAGACAATAGATAATTATACTGATAAATATTGGCTGACTAGTCATTATTTGATTGACGAATTCTATGAATTTTCTTGGTTAGCTCAGATTCTACTCACAATTCCTTGGGATGGAGTGGAAGTATGGTTTAAAACATATTACAGATTTTTTAAAATAAATCTCTTGTTATCACCTGTAGAAATTCTACTATTTGCTTCTTGAAAACTCTATTTTTATACAAATCAAAATGTTTAATCGGGAACGATAGGGCTTTAGCTTAAAGTACTGACTCCGTAACATAAATGTTACCTTTACGCTTAAGGAAATCATTAAGAAACTTTACTTATTACATTGCTTTAGCTTTTGCTAGAAAAGTTTTAATATTGGAGACAGCCAATGCACATTTTAATTGTTTCTTTAGTGCTTCCGAACCTTTATCAGCACTACAGCAGGTAACTTAAGAGGAAGTTATTAAATTGTTTTCTACCGAAGCCACTTTAAAGCTGATTTACATAAAATTTTTTGCATCTAAAAATGCACAGACAAGATTTGTCGGCAATTTAGATACTTTAAAATATCACTTGCAAGTGTTCCGAGCATTCACAGGAATATTTGTTTCTCTTGTATGGGATGAGAATGCAATCTACATACTAACAGCATTTTGATGCACTGATTGATTCAAGGATGCAAGTACAAGTGAAAAGTCTGACAGTAAAGATTCTCTATAATACGTCAAACACGAAGCATATGTTGGCAATAGTTGTATCATGTAAACTAGCTTGTAAGGGTGCGACTATGCAGATGTGAATTTAGAGTGAGCGAGAGGTTGCAAGCGATTTAGTTTTCGCAAAGGAAAACCATGCACAAACGAGAAGCGAGAAATAACGCTGGCGAGAGCGATTTTCTGGTTCTCGCACATATCTGACAGGTTTTGATATTTATCACGTCTCGCCTCTTCTCGCCACATATTCTCACTCGCTTGGAAAATTCGCTCGCTCGCGTCTGCATAGTCGCACCCTAAGCATCTTACCATACAAATGTAAGGAACGAAATTAATGTTATTGCTTTGTAAAATAATTAAATTATATTAAATTTTTTCAATTATAATTGTGTATTTACAAATATTTTTCTTACGAAAAACATTTAATTGCAGCTTAACCAGAAGTATAATGAATTAAAATCCGGTTACGAAGAGAAGCGTAATAAACTGAAAGAGGTCAGAAAAATTTATTTATTTATTTATTTTAAAAACAGTAATAATTACTGCAAAATAATTTTTCATACCTTTATTTTCAGCTTAACAACTATTACGAAAAACTCTCCGACGAGATGGAAAAGTTCGAAACAGTAAAGAAGGAAGATAAAGAGTAAAAACTTTTATTTAATTCATTTTATTAAGAATATTTTCATCTTTAATAAGTGATATTTAATGCTTACAGAATTATAGAAAAGTTGAATTCGTTAGTGTTGATGAACGAAAATTTGAAACACCAAGAGCAAGAATTTAAGTCCCACTGTAAGGAAGAATTAGCAAGATTACAAGCCGATATCGAAGAGGTTAAATCGTCTAATAAAGAATTATCGTCGGAAGATAAGGTAAAATAAAATGAAACTTGTATGTTACGGTGCTGTTTAGTAAAATGATGCAATTGTGAAGTCCCTCTGCCGTTGGACAGAGAAATGGGAGAAGCTTACGGGAACAAAATGATGACGTTGCCACAGACCGTACGATGAAGGAGTTAAAGTAAGCTATGACGTCGGCACTCGCCTGAGCCGCACGAGTGTGGTCCACAATTGCATCATACTAATACTTAGTGTTTCATCTATGAAGTTGATTGAATAACATTAAACTAAAGTTTGAAGGATTGCATGCGATTGATACTTAAACTTAGGGATTAGAAATGGCAATTGTATTGCCTCTTTCTGCTGTTATCGATGAAATATATTTACCATTTATAGTATTAGATGTAATTTTCTGTCATAACAATTAAGTTTTGTATATTCCGAAAGCTTATATTTTAAAACTGTTGAACTTCAGTTTGTTTTTGATGATTTTGCTGCAGCTCAAAATGGTGTTTTGGCTACAGTCACTAAATTTATAAACTGAAGTAAATAACAAAATGTTTAACATATTCAAATACGTAATTTTATGATATTTAATAACCTATATTATAGACATAATGTTAAGATTTATCTTTTTGTTAAGTATGATTTTATAACTTTATAAATGAAGAGAGAATTAAACTGCCGGAGAACTTAGCATGGATATTTGCAGTGGTAATCTTTTTTGCTTTTAGAAATATGTATTTGTTGGACCACATTTACAAAGTACGTAAATACTTTATTGGTATGGCATCATCTTTTTTTTTAAGTCACAAAATGACTGGTTAGTAACAGCAGATTTTAAGCTGTTAAGCTGTCGGCATTTGCCATAGAGCTTTCTCTAAATAAACTGCAAAAATTGGTATAGCAAGAAAAACTGCAGCTTGTGCAACATTCTCTCTATCTTTTTAACTTCTTTCGTTCATTTCAATTTATCATTTATCTCGGTAACTATCAACTATAGTGAATATAGTAATGGACTCCATCATCACAAATTTGTATAATGAGATGAAACAATTATGATTAGTACTCATACAAAATTCTAATTTAGTCATCCAAAGGTATATGTTTCTTCTTCAACTTCCTATGTTTAAACTTGCATGAAATCAGTCAATAACGGATGTCTTGATAACACAATTTCCTATAGTAATACATAGCCGAAATTATTATTTCTGAAAGTATTTAGAGTGAATTCAGTTTAAACATTATAAAATTGTTTGAAGAATTTTATAGCAGAAATGTATTTAATTTTTCTAATATTATAGGAACGGAGAGAAGTAATAGAGAAACAATATTCTACTGACAAAGAAAAGCTACAAAAGATACGAGGACTACTGGTACGTTGAAAATTTGGTAGCATTGTTTTATGTGTCATTCATGTAGAAAAATTTTATTTGAATTGTTAGTTTGTACATAAAATAAACTAAGAGAGTATTTATAACATTTTTTAAAAATTAGAGTTTGTTTGCAGTCCAATAGTTATGCAGCACTGTGATGGCAGAGTTTGTGGAGTTTCGCAAAGTTTGTCATCTGCTTTGTTAGATGCGCACTTCTAGTGTAGCGGAACGTCATTCAACTGTAAAGTTGAATGACGTTCGGCTTCGACATTCGATGCCAATCCTACCAAGTTAGCCACTGGACAATGTATTTTTAATTCCTGTGACAGCTAGCAACCATGAATCTCCATGTTTCTATTGGACCGTAAACTAGCTTTTATAGTTTTCTTCAAATATATATCGATTTGATTTTATCCTAGATTTGATCTTCATATCTACAAAACTCAAAATTACTTCTAATAAAAAGTTTAAGGATGCCCATCCCTGTAAATGGATGCAGTCTCACACAAACGCCTGCTAGTTTGCATATCGGGGAGTACATATAGTGATGCCAAATTTTGCTTTTTTTCTACTCTACAGAAAAAAAACACCGATTTCTTTTAATTTTGCTTTGTTTAACTTATTTAACCACTCTGATTTACTGCTCCACACGTAGATGAATGACGTCTCCTCCTCATTTTGTTTAATTTGGAAATAATTTATAATGTTAATTTGTTTTTGTAAATAAATTAAACACTTACCACTAATACCAAATTATTTAGAAATTAATTAAAAAAAATAGTAGTAGTAAAATACTCAATTTAATCCAGTAGTTGTCTGGAATCTTACTATAATATTGGGCTTTGGGATGTTTATATATGTATAACATAGAATTTCAAAGCATAATCGGTAAAGATATTTATATAAAATAATATCAATATATTTTACCAATACTATAATAAGTAAATGTTTTTGAAATCTTGTATATAAATATATAGCCTATATATTTTTAATTCTTTACACCGTATGGGCATGAAAAGGGCCTTTTATCCATACACAATGTGGTTTCTGTCAGGCACACAGTTTATATGGGGCCTGATGTATCTGCAACAGATCAATCGGTGAAAGATTTTGAGGTTTTTGGATCTGTTCTTGGGTTCCCCGGAGCAGTAGGATGGTGCACTAATCACCTCAATCACCATAATATCTGTAGTATATTTATTATTAGATCTGTAGTATATTTATGTTTAATTAATATTGATGCAGTATACATGAGATGTCAACTAATTGTAATGTGCTTTTTGTATTTTAAGGCACGTAAAAATCGAGAAATTGCATCGTTACAAAGAAAGATCGACGAGGTTCCCGCTCGAGCCGAATTGAGTCAGTATCAACGTCGATTCGTAGAATTGTATAATCAAGGTTTGTATCAAAGAATTGGTTTTGATCGCAATTTATTTACAGATCAATTTATTAGTATACAATTTATTAATTATTAAAAAGAAAACAATAGAAAACTGATTTTATTTAAGATAAATCAATCTTAATGAAATCTAAATTGAAAAAGCATGGATTTGTTGTAAAAGGATATAAACGAATGCTTTTGCGGTCATTCTTTATCAAGTTTATTAAGTTTACACAAAATAATTTTGTTTGTTGGTTCTTAATTTTTGTTTCGGACTTTAAAATTTTACACGAAGTTTCATCACAGTTTATCAAATTAATATTCAAGCTAGTGCAATTTAAACTGCAATGTTTAGCATCTAACAATTTAATTGGTCTATTATAGTTATGATTTAAGTAACCAATAAATTTTCTCATTGTTTATTTACTTTAAAAAGGACTAAAATAGTTATGAGATTGACATTAGAAATTGTAGTATCACTTCTCTGTCTTCAAATATATGATATAGTTACACATATTCAGAACATTTTGGATCTTTTAAATTTATCTGAATTGCAAGGAAACATAGTACTGAACATGACAGCTATTTCCACAACTGTAGCTATGCAAGAATTGCGACTTGGCTCTAGCTATACAGAGCTTCAGAATTAGCTTTATATAATTCCTGGTCAACTAATTATAAAAACTAATTATTGGAAACTCGTCTTAAAGCTCTAGAGAGCTGATGCAGTATGAAATTACTTATTGTTGCTGTTCCAGCTATGAACAGCTTTGAAAAACTTTAAACAAATGTAAAATGTAAAAGTTCTAGAATTGTGATTTTGAATGATTTAATTGGGAAAGGAAAAGCTGCACTATCATGGCACCAACTAAGAAACTTCAATTAAGCTCTAGGTTTTACACGTTTGAGTTGAATGATATGTAGAACCTGAAGCAGGTCCATAAACTATGCTGAAAACATTTGTTTTTAATAAAGTATTGCTGGAAGATGTAAAATTAATTATCAAATCTTATATTTAAACCTTTGAAGATCGAGTCTGAGTTGATTTGTAGAGGTTGCTCTTTATCAACTTTTAATTGCTAAAGTTAATTCATTTTTCATTTAATTAATGGTTTTTTTTTTTTTAAACAAAATGGCATTATTTCAGGCATAATTTTGAAAGATCTGATGACATTGTGAGACTCGGCAATTATTCTAATCTCTAACGTGACGATCAAATTTTTTTATACACGTGCAGAGCAAGCATAAATGGTTGTAAATGACAGCTTTGTATTCGAATGTATATTTATAAAAGTAGATATGAGTGTAAAAATTGTAACATGGCATTGTGTACAGCAGGGATAGGCAACATTTTTCTATGTAAGGGCCATATTTTAAAACTTTTGAACTGATGCGAGTCGCATACAAGAGATAAAAGAAAAAAACAATGCTGATAAATCACTATTGTTTATTCATATATCTATACTAATGTTATAAAGAGGTAAAGTTTGTAAGTTTGGATGTAGGAGATAATCTTCGAAACTACTCATCTAATTTCAAAAATTCTTTCACAATATTTAGGATGGAATTTCAGGGTGGACATAGGCTGTATATTATTCCATTAAACATTCATATAAATTAAAAGATATCATCTAGGATTAAGACTTTTATGTCCAACAGATGGCACTTACTCTGCTGATGAGTACGAAGACCTAAGTTTGCTTTTCTGTGAGGATGAACTATAGCTGATCATCATCTATCTATATAAATAAAAATGTAATATTCGTTTGTTCCTACCGATTCCTTTGAAACTTTGTCACAATGTTGCATTCGAATACGCACGTGTTTTTATATAATATATACGTATTGAAATTCCCCCTACTGGGGTAGAGATAGACAGGATTAAGGCTTACCGTGAAGAACTCTGCTTCTATTTATACTATATTATATGTGGTTTTTTGCATTTTTGATTGAGTTTTAATAGGGTACGTCAACAGAATATACACTAAAAGGCGATTATTCAAAATTCCCCCGCGGGGGAAGTGATATACATTTATAAGAGATACATTTTGTAGTATAATTATGGTCTGCTAGTATAATTATAAACTAACATAGGTATACTTAATTTAACTTCTGGAACTGATGTGAACATAATATATCAGAAATATTTGGTTGAATTTTAGTCACTACTGGTGTTAAATTAGTTTTGATGTGAGTCTGTTAGCCAATTTCTTGTTTCAATTTTTACTGAATTCATTGTGGAAAAGTTGTTTACATACGTAAAAGTTGTAGAAAATAACGATAGAATTTTTGCTGCATACTTCCTTAAGCTGATAAATTGATATATTTATTAATATTTTATGTGACACGAGCCCCCCACACTATTAATGCAGGCTGCAAATTGCTCACTCCTGGTGTACAGATACATGTTTTAGAAATTTTAGTATAAAAGTTAACTTTTCATTTATTTATAAAATATTTTAAGCATTTGTTTTGTATTTTATGCATAAGTTTTATGCATATACAGGGTGTTTCAAAAACATACCGGCACTTCGGAGATTTATAGAGGACACCAAACAATCTTCGAGTTTTCTATAACTCTACACATCTTTACTACAACACCGGAGAATAGTAATATAACTCTTTCTAACCTGTTACCGGTGCATCTACTAACTCTTAACGATTCAAAACGAACCAAAACTCCTGAGTTTTGGTTCGTTTTGGATCGTTAAGAGTTAGTAGACACACCGGTAACAGGTTAGAAAGAGTTATATTTTCTATAACTCCCTGAAGTTTGTTTGTACGGTTCTGAAATGCCCTATATGTTTAATGTATATGTGGCATGTTCTAACATGTGTTTGTGTAGACATTAAATGATTTATATATAAAAAATTTGCACACTTTTACTCATAAAATAACTCAGAAAAAGTTTTTTCCCAATGTATTGAATACATTAAGCTTATGTTTAAACAAAATTAGCTAGATATTGCTTGCAGATGCAGCATAACTTGGCTTTGAATGTGTTAAGTGTTTTAACAAAATGCAAACTAAGCATATTGTACGTTTAACTACCGTGCAGTTCTGTAAGTGCATAAATTGAGTGTGGAATTATTAATGGCCCGACTGTAATTAATATTAAATATATTTGCAATGTAGAAGTGTATTGTACTTGTCAACACCTCAAGAATGTTAGTCTTTATGGGTGAAGTATTAATATATTTTATTGAAATTGTGGCTTTGCCTGGATATTTTTTTAACGTTTTTGCATACTGAGGCAGACCAGTCGCCTCGAGTGAAGGGTCAGCTCTGCCTGTAAAGACTTGTGTTCCCGAGGTGTTGACAAGGACAAGATATGAAGAGAATTTTTAAATTTTTATCGAATTTGTGAATATTTTTAATATAGAATTAGTATTAATTTATTGTTTAGAACAGTACTTTTTAGCTGCCAATTTATGGATTATAATTTTTCAGAATTGTAAGACATTTTAGGATAAATAGTAGTTTTTACTGTTAATTAAGCTTTTTCTTATAAGTATACGTCAGTTTTTTTGGGTGTGGCCGAGCAGATAAAACCACGCAACTCTGGTAGTTGGTCACAGGCTCTTGTTTTACCAGGGGAATGGCCACGTGAATTTTAAAGGTTTATTTTACACGTAGCACTAAATACAGTCTAGTTTCTTGTAGAAAATTTTCCCAGGAAGCACTCCCTGTTGACAGATTGCCCAAAAATCTCAAATATGAAGTAATACAGACATTATTGCAAGAGGTGCTTGTTACATTTTCATACAGGCAAGGTGACGAGGCATTTCCCATGCAACAGTGGAAAAATCTGGGATAAGGGGAGGTTTATGTCACATATTCAAAGTCATATCCCATGTAAATGTATAGGATATTAGTCTTTTAGGTGCTTAGATGCGGTTTGATGTTTGAATATATGCAACATTAGTCTTTATTGAGGTTGGACACTGAAACTTTGTTATAATCAGAGTAGTTAATACTAGACCATGATAGATGCTCGGCAAGCTTAAATCTTTGAGTGATATAAAGAATTTTGGTTTATTTAATATTTGTGGTTTTCCGTGAAATAATTAATATAAAATTTTTATAGTGGCTGCCAAACATAAGGAAACAAAACAGTTCTATACATTATACAACACATTGGATGACACAAAAATGTATCTTTCTAAAGAGGTAAATCATTTTTAAAATATTTAAATCTTGTTTATAATGCTTTTAATCGTTTAAATCTTAATTCAGGTTAATTTGTTGAATTCCATTTTGGATAACTTTTCAACGTAAGTATAATAAATTTTAGTCGTACGATAAGCTAATTGAACGACGAAATTAATCGACAATAAACTTTGTTACTTTAGTGCTATGGCATCTCCTGGAACGAGAGATCAGTTCTTATCCCAGTTTCAACAGATTGTCGATGGAATATGTCAAAACAAAATCAGGGTAATTATATATTTTGACACGTTTTATATATATATATATATATATNTAACTGAGCACGCTGCTATTTCTGTACAGCTATATGTAACTGAGCACGCTGCTATTTCTGTACAGCTATATGTAACTGAGCACGCTGCTATTTCTGTACAGCTATATGTAACTGAGCACGCTGCTATTTCTGTACAGCTATATGTAACTGAGCACGCTGCTATTTCTGTACAGCTATATGTAACTGAGCACGCTGCTATTTCTGTACAGCTATATGTAACTGAGCACGCTGCTATTTCTGTACAGCTATATGTAACTGAGCACGCTGCTATTTCTGTACAGCTATATGTAACTGAGCACGCTGCTATTTCTGTACAGCTATATGTAACTGAGCACGCTGCTATTTCTGTACAGCTATATGTAACTGAGCACGCTGCTATTTCTGTACAGCTATATGTAACTGAGCACGCTGCTATTTCTGTACAGCTATATGTAACTGAGCACGCTGCTATTTCTGTACAGCTATATGTAACTGAGCACGCTGCTATTTCTGTACAGCTATATGTAACTGAGCACGCTGCTATTTCTGTACAGCTATATGTAACTGAGCACGCTGCTATTTCTGTACAGCTATATGTAACTGAGCACGCTGCTATTTCTGTACAGCTATATGTAACTGAGCACGCTGCTATTTCTGTACAGCTATATGTAACTGAGCACGCTGCTATTTCTGTACAGCTATATGTAACTGAGCACGCTGCTATTTCTGTACAGCTATATGTAACTGAGCACGCTGCTATTTCTGTACAGCTATATGTAACTGAGCACGCTGCTATTTCTGTACAGCTATATGTAACTGAGCACGCTGCTATTTCTGTACAGCTATATGTAACTGAGCACGCTGCTATTTCTGTACAGCTATATGTAACTGAGCACGCTGCTATTTCTGTACAGCTATATGTAACTGAGCACGCTGCTATTTCTGTACAGCTATATGTAACTGAGCACGCTGCTATTTCTGTACAGCTATATGTAACTGAGCACGCTGCTATTTCTGTACAGCTATATGTAACTGAGCACGCTGCTATTTCTGTACAGCTATATGTAACTGAGCACGCTGCTATTTCTGTACAGCTATATGTAACTGAGCACGCTGCTATTTCTGTACAGCTATATGTAACTGAGCACGCTGCTATTTCTGTACAGCTATATGTAACTGAGCACGCTGCTATTTCTGTACAGCTATATGTAACTGAGCACGCTGCTATTTCTGTACAGCTATATGTAACTGAGCACGCTGCTATTTCTGTACAGCTATATGTAACTGAGCACGCTGCTATTTCTGTACAGCTATATGTAACTGAGCACGCTGCTATTTCTGTACAGCTATATGTAACTGAGCACGCTGCTATTTCTGTACAGCTATATGTAACTGAGCACGCTGCTATTTCTGTACAGCTATATGTAACTGAGCACGCTGCTATTTCTGTACAGCTATATGTAACTGAGCACGCTGCTATTTCTGTACAGCTATATGTAACTGAGCACGCTGCTATTTCTGTACAGCTATATGTAACTGAGCACGCTGCTATTTCTGTACAGCTATATGTAACTGAGCACGCTGCTATTTCTGTACAGCTATATGTAACTGAGCACGCTGCTATTTCTGTACAGCTATATGTAACTGAGCACGCTGCTATTTCTGTACAGCTATATGTAACTGAGCACGCTGCTATTTCTGTACAGCTATATGTAACTGAGCACGCTGCTATTTCTGTACAGCTATATGTAACTGAGCACGCTGCTATTTCTGTACAGCTATATGTAACTGAGCACGCTGCTATTTCTGTACAGCTATATGTAACTGAGCACGCTGCTATTTCTGTACAGCTATATGTAACTGAGCACGCTGCTATTTCTGTACAGCTATATGTAACTGAGCACGCTGCTATTTCTGTACAGCTATATGTAACTGAGCACGCTGCTATTTCTGTACAGCTATATGTAACTGAGCACGCTGCTATTTCTGTACAGCTATATGTAACTGAGCACGCTGCTATTTCTGTACAGCTATATGTAACTGAGCACGCTGCTATTTCTGTACAGCTATATGTAACTGAGCACGCTGCTATTTCTGTACAGCTATATGTAACTGAGCACGCTGCTATTTCTGTACAGCTATATGTAACTGAGCACGCTGCTATTTCTGTACAGCTATATGTAACTGAGCACGCTGCTATTTCTGTACAGCTATATGTAACTGAGCACGCTGCTATTTCTGTACAGCTATATGTAACTGAGCACGCTGCTATTTCTGTACAGCTATATGTAACTGAGCACGCTGCTATTTCTGTACAGCTATATGTAACTGAGCACGCTGCTATTTCTGTACAGCTATATGTAACTGAGCACGCTGCTATTTCTGTACAGCTATATGTAACTGAGCACGCTGCTATTTCTGTACAGCTATATGTAACTGAGCACGCTGCTATTTCTGTACAGCTATATGTAACTGAGCACGCTGCTATTTCTGTACAGCTATATGTAACTGAGCACGCTGCTATTTCTGTACAGCTATATGTAACTGAGCACGCTGCTATTTCTGTACAGCTATATGTAACTGAGCACGCTGCTATTTCTGTACAGCTATATGTAACTGAGCACGCTGCTATTTCTGTACAGCTATATGTAACTGAGCACGCTGCTATTTCTGTACAGCTATATGTAACTGAGCACGCTGCTATTTCTGTACAGCTATATGTAACTGAGCACGCTGCTATTTCTGTACAGCTATATGTAACTGAGCACGCTGCTATTTCTGTACAGCTATATGTAACTGAGCACGCTGCTATTTCTGTACAGCTATATGTAACTGAGCACGCTGCTATTTCTGTACAGCTATATGTAACTGAGCACGCTGCTATTTCTGTACAGCTATATGTAACTGAGCACGCTGCTATTTCTGTACAGCTATATGTAACTGAGCACGCTGCTATTTCTGTACAGCTATATGTAACTGAGCACGCTGCTATTTCTGTACAGCTATATGTAACTGAGCACGCTGCTATTTCTGTACAGCTATATGTAACTGAGCACGCTGCTATTTCTGTACAGCTATATGTAACTGAGCACGCTGCTATTTCTGTACAGCTATATGTAACTGAGCACGCTGCTATTTCTGTACAGCTATATGTAACTGAGCACGCTGCTATTTCTGTACAGCTATATGTAACTGAGCACGCTGCTATTTCTGTACAGCTATATGTAACTGAGCACGCTGCTATTTCTGTACAGCTATATGTAACTGAGCACGCTGCTATTTCTGTACAGCTATATGTAACTGAGCACGCTGCTATTTCTGTACAGCTATATGTAACTGAGCACGCTGCTATTTCTGTACAGCTATATGTAACTGAGCACGCTGCTATTTCTGTACAGCTATATGTAACTGAGCACGCTGCTATTTCTGTACAGCTATATGTAACTGAGCACGCTGCTATTTCTGTACAGCTATATGTAACTGAGCACGCTGCTATTTCTGTACAGCTATATGTAACTGAGCACGCTGCTATTTCTGTACAGCTATATGTAACTGAGCACGCTGCTATTTCTGTACAGCTATATGTAACTGAGCACGCTGCTATTTCTGTACAGCTATATGTAACTGAGCACGCTGCTATTTCTGTACAGCTATATGTAACTGAGCACGCTGCTATTTCTGTACAGCTATATGTAACTGAGCACGCTGCTATTTCTGTACAGCTATATGTAACTGAGCACGCTGCTATTTCTGTACAGCTATATGTAACTGAGCACGCTGCTATTTCTGTACAGCTATATGTAACTGAGCACGCTGCTATTTCTGTACAGCTATATGTAACTGAGCACGCTGCTATTTCTGTACAGCTATATGTAACTGAGCACGCTGCTATTTCTGTACAGCTATATGTAACTGAGCACGCTGCTATTTCTGTACAGCTATATGTAACTGAGCACGCTGCTATTTCTGTACAGCTATATGTAACTGAGCACGCTGCTATTTCTGTACAGCTATATGTAACTGAGCACGCTGCTATTTCTGTACAGCTATATGTAACTGAGCACGCTGCTATTTCTGTACAGCTATATGTAACTGAGCACGCTGCTATTTCTGTACAGCTATATGTAACTGAGCACGCTGCTATTTCTGTACAGCTATATGTAACTGAGCACGCTGCTATTTCTGTACAGCTATATGTAACTGAGCACGCTGCTATTTCTGTACAGCTATATGTAACTGAGCACGCTGCTATTTCTGTACAGCTATATGTAACTGAGCACGCTGCTATTTCTGTACAGCTATATGTAACTGAGCACGCTGCTATTTCTGTACAGCTATATGTAACTGAGCACGCTGCTATTTCTGTACAGCTATATGTAACTGAGCACGCTGCTATTTCTGTACAGCTATATGTAACTGAGCACGCTGCTATTTCTGTACAGCTATATGTAACTGAGCACGCTGCTATTTCTGTACAGCTATATGTAACTGAGCACGCTGCTATTTCTGTACAGCTATATGTAACTGAGCACGCTGCTATTTCTGTACAGCTATATGTAACTGAGCACGCTGCTATTTCTGTACAGCTATATGTAACTGAGCACGCTGCTATTTCTGTACAGCTATATGTAACTGAGCACGCTGCTATTTCTGTACAGCTATATGTAACTGAGCACGCTGCTATTTCTGTACAGCTATATGTAACTGAGCACGCTGCTATTTCTGTACAGCTATATGTAACTGAGCACGCTGCTATTTCTGTACAGCTATATGTAACTGAGCACGCTGCTATTTCTGTACAGCTATATGTAACTGAGCACGCTGCTATTTCTGTACAGCTATATGTAACTGAGCACGCTGCTATTTCTGTACAGCTATATGTAACTGAGCACGCTGCTATTTCTGTACAGCTATATGTAACTGAGCACGCTGCTATTTCTGTACAGCTATATGTAACTGAGCACGCTGCTATTTC